TAAGTTTACCTTTGAGTACAGGTAAATTCTGTTTCATTATCACTGAAGTCTGCCTTAGTATATATTATTTGCTATTTAAATTAATACTTAACAAATGTCAATACCAAGTAGTTTTGTAAAATTTGGTTTGGTTTCTATTGAACCTTAATAGCATAGCATCTCCATTTAGGGTGGCAACTAATTTATATTAGCGGTCTCGTCTCCAAAGTGATGACATGTGCACAGCATTTCTGCTTAATCTAGCTTGTCTTTTCCATAGTGGAAACTCTATACAGGGTTGCTATGAATCAGAAACGGCTCGATGGCACATCAACAATAATAATTCATATAGAGAGAAACCCTGGTGACATTGTGGGTTAGGTGTTGGATTGTTAACTGCAAGGTCAGTAGATCCAAATTTACCAGTCACTCCTCGAGAAAAAACTGAGGCTGTTTGCCTCTCTAACAATTTACATACTGTGATAGTTAAGGTTTTGTGTCAACTTGGCCTGGCTGGGATTCTCAGTGGGTTAGCAGTTAAGATGTAGTATCACTTCCATAATGAAATCTAACATCATTATATCAATTCCATGGTATGATCTGATATGATCAGCTCTGATCTGATATGCTTATCCAATGTGTTGTAAATCCTCACTTCGATGATGTTAATGGGGTCAGATGCAATCTACAGGATTAGGACATGTTTTGATTCAATCTGTTTGGAGATATAAAAGGAGAGAGAAGTAAACAGAAAAAGAGGGACCCACTACTGCCACCAAGAGAGATGAGCCAGGAGTGGAATGTGTCCTTTGGACCTGGAGTCCCTGCTCTGTGAAGCTCCTAGAGCCAGAGGAAGATAATAAATTAACATATGGAGAGCTGAAAGGAATGCTGGATTTAGAGATAATGAAAGGAAACAAGGACCTTTCTCCAGAGCCAGGGCTCTGAATTTAGAGTTCTAGCCAGAAGACCCCCAGCGAGATGGATTGGCAAAAGGACAGCATCAATGGGCTCAAGGGAGGCAACAATTATGAGGTTGGCCCAGGACCGGGCATTGTTTCATTCTGTTGTGCATAGGGTTGCTATGAGTCGGTACTGACTCGGAGGCACCTAACAACCACAACAACAAACGATAGAGTCCTGGTATGGCACTGTGGATTAATGCACTGGACTGCAAATTCTCTTTTAGCCACAGGTCGGTGGTTCAAACTCACCAGCCACTCCTAAAAAATTCTGACAGGGTCATTATGAGTCAGAACCAACTTGACAGCACTTAACAATAACAACTGAGAGAAAAATTTCTGTTTGTTAAAGACATCCACTTGTGGCATTTCTGTTATAGCAGCACTAGAGAACTGAGACACATACGGACTCCTAAACCTTTTGTAAGGTTTCTATGAGTCTGAATTGACTCAGTAGCTTTGGGTTCTGGTTTTGTATTGATAGAAAAAGGAATTAGTGGTAAAAAGTCTTGTATTGTTTTTCTAGAGCTGCTTTATCTAACTACCACAAATCATGTGGTTTCAGACAACAGAAATTAATTGTGTTACAATTCTGGAGACCAGAAGTCTGCCATCAAAGTGTTGGCAGGGCCACATTCCCGTTGAAGATCCTTGTAGAAGACCCTTCCTTTCTGCTCCAGCTTCTGGAAGCCTCGGTTGTTCTGGATTTGTGGTAGCATAACTTCAACCTGTGTCCCTGTAGTCACATGGCTGTCATCCCTCTATATGTCTATCTCTGTGTCTTCTCTTTTAAGGACATCAGTCAGCAGTCATATATTTTTAGGGCCCACCCTTCTCCAATTTTTGCATATGTATTGGTGAGTAAATATTCAAATTTACACACCAACCATTAAAGCCAGTGAGGATGAAATAGAAGAATTCTACCAACTTCTTCAATCTGAAATTGATCAAACATGCAGTGAAGATACATTTATCATGACTGGTGATTAGAATGCAAAAGTTGGTAACAAAGAGGAAGGATCAGTAGTTGGAAAATACAGCCTTGGTGATAGGAATGATACTGGAGAATGCATAATAGAATTCTGCAAAATCAATGAATTGGTCATTTCAAATACCGTCTTTAGACAGCATAAGAGACGGTTATACACATGGACCTCACCAGATGGAATACATAGAAATCAAATTGACTACATCTGTGGAAAGAGTTGATGGAAAAGCTCTATATCATTGGTCA